TCATAGTATAACGAAACTCGATTAATCTTGCGAGGCCGATCATCGGGGCCGTGAGGATGCTGAAGATCGTCAAAGTTGGCGCGAATGGACTCAGAAGGCTGCACACGAGCGACAAGGTAGGTCTGCTTACAAAAAATTCTGATATTCCTTCTTGAATTTATTGATTGGTCAATCCGTCGGCTGACGGTCACCAGTTCTGAGACCGCGTGGCGCTACGCAAATAGAACTCGACGTTTTGTGAATTTAACAATTCGTTCGAACTTTCAAAGATTGTTTCGAAGATTCTTAAGAAAAATAAAAGATGCCCGATCTGCCGAGAGTACAGAAGACGAAATAATTTCGTCATCACTGATTTAAGATTCTAATAACAGACAGAGAGGAGTTTCTTATATGATTTGGAAGATTGGACTTTGTTTTTTTACAGACAAGAATTGAATTTTACAGACAATTGTTTACAGACAAGAATCAAAGTTGATTGCAAACAGCATTCATGCTATAAGACAAATGAAGATGAGGAAGTGTCGTTGAGATTCTGACAACACGTGGACAGTCGATGACGTTACTAAAACTCTGCTTTTTATCTTCGTATTGAATAAGATTTTTATAGTCCGACATATGGAAAGATCCGAGAATACAAATATTGCAATTACAAATTAGACAGGAAATTTTAGCCCAATCTTGACATTCCCATAGGTACTTAATAAAAATGATGATTCCACAATGATTTGTAATTGAAAGTTATTATGTCATTTGACGTGAGTAGTTCGAGGGTGAAAATATATTGATCACGAAAAGCACATTAACTCTGTTCATCTGCTGCGTATCCACGTGGGCGGTGGCAATGGCCCATTTCAGTGACAGAAATACTTGAACTAAACGCGTGAATTGCACAGCTGTTAAGGCCACTGTACGATAAAATGATGTGAATAATCGATAACAGTCCCATTGCAATCTGACATTAGTGACATTTGAAGACTTGTCGGTTTTTTCTTATTCTTTGTTGATAAAATGTCGTGTTCTATTTGCCAAAAGAATATATCGAAGTATTTGCTTTGTCGACTAGGTAATATCTATGAGAGGTTTTAAACTTTCACGACTTGGAATTATACAATTTTTCGCGTAGAGGCTTTCGGATATAAGCCGTGTCCGAGAAAATTTAGCATCCAAACATTTCGTCAACATTTTAGCTAACTGTATCAGGGGTAGAAGACGCGCTGATTTCTGTATGAGTTGCAATTAGCTGCAATAATAACGAAACATTGAGATAATAGTTGTTCTCGGACACGGGTCACGCCCGAACATCTGAACGTTGAGTAATAATTCGAAAGATTTAAGAGGCCAAGACGAAAGTCTAGCCTAGAGACCTCTTAAATGTTTTTAGTCGAAATCATAGATATCATCTGGAAAGAATTTAGACTAGCAATTTTTAAAAGAAGCATTGAATCGAAGAAGCACCCTTTCGTTTTCGTTTCTGTCCACGCCAACTCCACTCATAGATACTCATAGCATGTATCGGTTTATGGTTAGAGGGGTTGATTCACCGAAGGATCAATACAGAAGTGCTAGGGCCCGAAGGGTGCTTAAGTACCCGTAAGTTACCACCCTTCGTACCCTTTGCTGACCCAAAGATGCCAAAACTACGTATTAGAATATTAGAAATTATGCATTAAAAATTCCTTATGACCGAGAAAAACAGGTGGAACAATTTTATAAACCTTACTCCTCTGTAATTATTATTTTTTCTAAAAGTTCATTGCTTTGTATTGCATTGCTCAAATATTGGACACAGCTTTTTATTAGATACTATAGTCAAAGACTTTAAGTACGAAATGCTAAGACCAGAACTAGAGGAACTCAAAAGGTTTCCGTGTGTGTTTTCTAATGATTCGAAGTTGGCATAACAAGGATTTAGTCATATGCGATCGATCTGTTTACAAATATTTTGATGCCAGCTACTATTACTTATTTTAAATCAAATGCCGTCAATTTATACATAGTATTATGACGTTTTCTGTTATGAGAAATTCATCTCATCTACGTATGTACATTCTCTATTTTGTTTTAGAGACAAACACCAGTACAAAAGGTGCAAACTGTAAAACGTTTTGACGCTGCCTTCGGAAGTACCTTGGAATTAGAACGAACGCAAACACGGTAATTAACCGATTTTTCAACTCTCAAATATGTACATCTGTTTCAAAATTGATTTTAAATTACGTTTAATACCATCTTTTTTGGTTGATATAATTATTATTCTACTTCAGAGAACATGTGTTCTCGTTGTCTATTGCTCGTCAGCAAACTAACAGGTTATATGCGGATACAGATCAAAATGTATTACATGACAATGCAACGCGATATGTAATTACGCGTGCATTGTGGAATTTCGCATTCCTTCGATTGTAAAATAATTTGAATCAGATTGAATTTAAAGATATTTTAATTAGTACACCACAAGGCATAATGATGAATATTTTTATAGTACTTATAATAAATACAAAAGTGTTCCTCTATAGATAAAATTTTTACCGAAAATATCTTCTCAGACATGCATCTGAAATGAAAAAATTTATAATCAAGTCTCTCCGGATTTTGGTAATTTTTAAAACTATCGTTTGTATCACAAGGGCAAATAGAATTCGTATAAACAAAGTCGAGTCGTGTCACGTATCCGGCTGTTCATTTAAAGAAAAAAAAAAAAGACTGATCGTTTCTCGTTACGACATAGAAATAGATACGTTCTACTAGGTGAAACACAACAGAGAACCAATAAATCCGAAGTAATCGATATTGGCGGTTCTCAATCGACTGTATTCACAGAGTAGTTAATTATTCCAGCACGAAGAGGAAGAAAATGTGATTACTCATCAGTTTTTGCCCAAGTCCGATATTCAAATAGTTTTAATTCACGTCATCAATATTATTGAAGTTAATTACAAATGTCTTTAATTTATTTCTTTAAAACACGTTTATATTCAGTTATTTCATCTTTTTCTTTAAATTAACTTCACTCTTCTTTTCTTTCCTAATTCAGTTTCTCATTCTTTATCTAGTAATAGTAAAATAACAATATCTCTCTGACTTTGATTGAGAACCGTCGTTCTTCATAGACTCGACCCCATGGACCACAATTTATTGTCTGCACGTCACTAGCCACCGTTTAAATACATTCAGAATCTAATCCTTCGTTCTCTTCTAGAAGTTTGTTCCACTTCCAAGAATTTCGTGTCTCAGTAGTTGCTCTTGCTCGAGTTTTGAAATAAATATAAAAATAGGATGTGAACAAATTTCTTTTTGAATAATGGACGATTGTCAGTGTTTCATCGATCATTTTTTACCTTGAAAAAGAAGGTAATGGAGAGCTTTGACTTCACCGAATTTGTGGAAGATTGTACTGATTTTCGCAGACATTATTTACGAAGTGGGTAAGATTTACATCCAAACTCAAACTCATTCTAAATAAGTAATAATAAAAATCAACCGAAGAATGTAATCTATCAACGTATGTAATCATCCTGTAGCTTCTGTGTTATGTGTTGCGTTTTTTAAACTCATTGCTTATATTTATTGCAAAAAAATTGTCCAACTGTTTCCAGAGTTCCACCGTTTTTTAGTAAAATGACGGCAGTTCTACTTGCTAAAAATCTGCACAGATCACGTAGGATAGGAAAGGAAGCGTTCGTTAAACGACTAAAAATAATATTAAAAACCAGATGACTGCTGTTCTTGAACTTGAAGCTGTTCTAATCAGGTCTAATCAACTGTCTAACTCAACTGCAGTTTATCTTTTATGACACTTGGTATTTGCTTCTTACTCGGATTCAACACACGTTTTTCACAATCGTAAAAACTTTGACCAACACACGCGAGATTATGCGAAAGATTCCACTGTGCGAAATGCTTATAGAAAATTGATTCTATATAAAAATGTGTAACCTTGTAAATGTATGACCTGTGTGCCGTTCGAAATAGAACGTAAATCGAGGGAATCTGGATTGAAACAGAAACGTAAAGGAAAGGTGCAAAATAACGAGGGGTCGCTATGTTTGCAGTTATGCAATTTTCCGATTTACCGAAGCTGTTTGCCCTAGAACATACTCGGATGACTCTCATATAGAATGTATTTACACGTCCATAACTGCCTGTTAGCGTGTTTTGCTATTTTTAAACCCTATTTCACGGTGTTCGAGTGGGGTCCTTTGTTCTTTCCTACCTGATATAAGGTCTTGCTTCCTAGTTTTCCCACACACATCAATTTTAAAGGAGTTCTACTTGAATCATCTGAGAATTATTCGAATCGAATTTACAATTATAAATCACAATAGTATTCCGCGAGTTTAATTCAGTGACACGTGGCTATCAGCTTCTTAAGAAGCGACTGCATATTAATAAATGTTAAAAGTGTTTTAATACTGTTATTAAAAAATGAAAGAAACAAATCAGAACATCATTATGTCTTGTATCGAATCAGACGTGACGGGTTCAACAGAAAATCCCGACTTAACACCGATGAATCATTTTGCCGATTCTGAATATTACTCAATTAGGACGAAAATTGCCTGTTCGATTTGGTTGGAAAAGAAAGGCGAGAACTCCAGAAGGACTTTAGCGCGTTTTCTTAGGTAACTCTCGAGGGGTGCCTTTTTTAACTGATTGGTTGTTCTTGTTCTGTTTTTGCAGCGAGTACAGCTTCATTCATGACAGCCATTACATGTAGTGAGTACTGTGCAACTACGTTGCTACTTCGACTACTGCATGGCTCAATACGTTTTCATATTGCTGAATTTTGGTTTGTTTAACAACAAGTGACAATCGATCTTATTTCCATTAAATCTTGTATAGTAATAGATAATGAAAGCTTTGTTAAACATCTCTTTTAATGAGCGTATATGTGGGCTATGTAATGAGTAAAAAAATTGCAATGTTATTCAATTTGTTGAAAGTGGATTTGTAATTCTCCCGAAAAGCCTTAAGACAAAAATCTTCATAACTTTTACGTTACACAACGTATATATATATTTAACGTCATGTATATCTGAAACATTTATGTAAAATATTCTATTCTCTTCTATCGCTAATTTCGATTCATTAAAGTTAAATGCTGCTGACGTTCTAAATAAATTCGTTAATGAATCACTTAAATTATCTCATATGACTAGTATTATAAAAATGTACGTAGTTAGACGAATCGGCGACGATCATGTAGTCATAACTAAATTTAACTCGCTTCACTATTTTCTTATTAGAAAACGTGTCTACAGTTGATAATTCTGATTATATGTATAAGTAACAAACTTTGGCATGGATCCAGACTTATATGCACAATCTTTATTTTCTTGTAGTGAACGTATGAGATTAAGGATGTATTGGCTATACATCCTTAATTATGTGTATAAGTGTCTCGTTGTTTTCTTCCAATTGAAGTAAACTGCAGAATATTGCAGTTTTAAAAAATATTTTTCGCTCTTATTTTCTATATTAAACAATTAAAGACGATTATATAGATATATTGTACTAATAGTCGTTTTACTCCGTGTTTATTTCAGCACCAGAGATCAAGATCAGGCGACTAATGCCGAAGATGCACTTTTCGATATGTTCAAAAATGAAGACACCGGCCTCTTACCAATCGGCAAATTTTTAGCCGTAAGCATTCATCATTTTTTAACAAGCGAAGAGTTTATTTAATTTTCGCTCGACTAGCCTAGCCAGATATCAGTAAAAAAAAATAGTGAACGTGGTGTTTCATGCTTAATATGTATTGTTGTATTTCACATAGGCTTTGAGGACGACCGGTTTGCGAAACGACGATCCCAGGCTTCAAGAATTCACGGACAACTTACGAAAAGAACACTTGAAAAGCGGAGGCCACGAGGGTGTTTCTCACGAGACGCAGAAATTAACCAGAGAACAGTTTAGAAAGTAATTTTCTCTCATTAAAATAAATGATTCTCAGATTGGGGAGAAAATTGTGTAATCTAATTCTCTTATTCCAGAATCATAAATCAGAACATAGTGTTGATCTCACGCGCGTTCAGGCATCAGTTCATTATTCCCGACTGGTCTGGCTTCACGAAGCACATAGAGGACTTCTACTGGAAATGCAAGTCAAACTCGGAGGGCAAGGTCGCCTCATACATACCTCAACTGGCGAGAATGAATCCGGATTACTGGGGCGTTTCCGTCTGCACGATCGATGGACAGAGATTCAGCATCGGTGACACGATGATTCCCTTTACCTTGCAGAGTTGCAGCAAGCCCTTGACTTATGCGATTGCCCTGGACAGGCTTGGTCAGGAAGTGGTTCATCAGTATGTCGGTCAGGAACCGTCAGGGAGAAACTTCAACGAGTTGGTTCTAGATTACAATAGTAAGTTTTTTTTTTTTACACTTTATAGGAGATATTCGGAGAGCCCCGACCCATTTTAAAATGAAACGAGCACGCCCAAAGTGTTTATTGGTGTGATACATATGTATAAGGGAACGGTGGAATATCGATCAGCGTTTGACCGAGCAAAAGTAGTTCAAGAGTTCATGCGTAAATGTCACGTATAAGAATTTGTATATGTATATGCATATGTATAGTAAATGAATGCAAATGAGAAACATTTAAATCAGATTATTACTTTTTTAAATGTACGTTTTCAAATGATCAATTTGTATCTTTTTATAGAGAAACCCCATAATCCTATGATCAATGCTGGAGCGATCTTGGTCTGTTCTCTTCTAAAGTCTTTAATTAAACCAGAAATGACTCTGGCGGAGAAATTCGACTTCACGATGAACTATTTTAAGAGGCTAGCAGGTGGAGAAAATTTGGGCTTCAACAACGCAGTATTCTTGTCTGAACGAGAGGCTGCTGATAGAAATTACGCTCTCGGGTTCTACATGAGAGAATACAATTGCTACCCGGATAAATCGAATTTGAGAGATATCATGGATTTTTATTTCCAGGTAAATTCTCTTGTTGCGAAATATTGACTTATTGAGAAAATTTAAAGAGACTCATCGTGTCAAATAAATTGCTTTTTTAAAGTGTTGCTCCATGGAGGCTAATTGCGACACAATGGCAGTGATGGCTGCTACCCTGGCCAACGGTGGTATATGTCCCATTACTGAGGAGAAGGTCTTGAAACCTGACAGCGTTCGGGACGTTCTAAGTTTAATGCACAGCTGTGGAATGTACGATTACAGTGGCCAATTCGCGTTCAAGGTAGGTTATCAACTTCTCAAAGATTGTTTATAGTAAATTATACATGCTAAGATAAACTGAAAACATTCTTTATCAATTTCTCTGTATCATATTACGTGTACATTAATGTAACGATTAATATACGGAAGATAAATTGCGTAATTGGAAACAGGTCGGCATTCCAGCAAAATCTGGCGTATCGGGAAGCCTGCTGGTAGTGATACCAAACGTGATGGGCATTTGCACGTGGTCACCGCCGTTGGACCCTCTTGGCAATTCTTGCAGGGGTGTGCAATTTTGCGAAGAACTCGTCACCGAGTTCAATTTTCACAGGTACGGATACCACATTCGCTAGTTTAACGTGCTTACGTAGAAACGAGTGACACTGACCTACTTCTTGCACATTAAATTAACAATTACAAAGAAAAGAATGCGTAGCTTCTGCATTAGCGATAATAGTTGCAAAACACGTTCAAGAAATTTCGAAATATGTTTAATGTATGTATGTTCAACACGGAGTTATAGTTATACCACGCATTAATCAAACTGTTTGTTTTCTCTCCTTTGCTTTTTTTTCACAACCCTCGGCTACACGAAAAACCCTGCACGACTCCATAAAAAAAATAAAACGCGCACTGCGTACTCACACACGTTTCTCTCTACATGTATTCATTGATATCCCGTCGTTTTCCATCCCGTCCCAATTAGTGTAGCACCTACTATGATCACAGGTACGACAACCTGAAGCACGCGACTAATAAGAAGGACCCGAGGAGGCACAAGTACGAGACTAAAGGACTGTCGATCGTCAATCTTCTGTTCAGCGCAGCTAACGGGGACGTAACGGCGATGAGAAGGTCAAACAATACGTTCTTTTAATAATTCGAGTATTGCTTTCTCTAAAAATTCCTTTATTTTTCTAAAAATGCGTCCTCCCGAACAGTTAGAAGATAAGCCTGCGACGATTCTGATTTTCTGAGAATCGATTAAAAATTTTAGTTTTTCATCCTAATTTGCAGGCATAGATTGAGCGGAATGGATATGACACTATCAGATTACGATGGTAGGACGGCTTTGCATTTGGCTGCTAGCGAGGGACACTTAGATTGCGTCGAGTTCCTGATCGAGCACTGCGCGGTCCCGCACGATCCCAAAGACAGGTAAAAATTCAATTACATTTTATTTCTGTTTTCACTTTGTAGATCCAACAACAAATAAACCCCTGTATTAATTAATTGGACACCGAAGAGTGCAATACGAAATTTCTAAAAAAAAGATTATGCTGCCAGGTGGGGAAAGAAGCCCATCGACGAGGCAGAGACGTTCGGGCACATGCATGTGGTCGAATACTTGAACAATTATGCGGTAGCTCAAAACACAGAAGCAGTGAATGAAGAGAAAGAGAATAACAGCGACGAGAACACGGACTCCCGGAAGGTCGTAGAATCCGCTGGTCAAACACCATTACCCTAAATTCGCAGATGGGTTTAGATAGGTTGCTAGGATTGACAAAGAAAAAGAACAAGTGGCTTAATATTACAAAAAGATGAGTTCACTGACGTATTACCTTTCGTACAAGATCATACTCTACGACCGATTTAGTTAATTTTATATTCATATGTCCGATAGCCAAATAACAGCCTAAATTCAATCTACAGTTACGTCTAATTGTACAGTACTGCAAGTGTACATAGTATTATACATACACATACTATTCGGTTCGGCTTCTACACATATACATATGTTCCAAAGTTTTATTCATTGATTTTTCTTAAGCGATTGTGTGTGAATTATCGAAGATGTGTGAATGTTCGATAGAAAATATATGTACAGGGTGCAACTGATGATACAATTGGAAAGCAGATGGAAAAAGGGAGTTTAGAAAACTTGTCCGATTTCAACTTATTCTTTCTTCACACTGAATCGTCATTTTATGACTGTACTCTGGTACAGCTACAAGACATTTAGTGTATTATCTTCCTTAATAATTTTTGTTCTCATTTTCTAGTTTTAACAAGCGATAAATCAAATCTAGCATTTCTAACAGTAAATCTTTAATTTTTTTATGAATGAAATGAAACAGTGAAGGAGGAGTATAAGTTATAAGGAACTGAGCAGGATAATTAAGACAATTAAGAATAATTTTACAGTATTATTTACGTGATCCTTGCGTGATACTTACATCAAGTAATAGCGAACGTTGATATTATTTGTAATGTGGGTACTTAACGTACAGCTTACGATCCGAGTGGGTGTACAGGGTGTACAGAAATGTTAGGCGTACTCTACATCTTCGGATCTATGAAGATAAAAAACAGTTTTCGCAAAATTGTCCTGGGCCTTACATTTCATGGTCAAACATTTTTTTATTACATTGTGTTCTACGCGTTGTGGAAATAAAAAGTCAATTCTTCCACAGTTCTTCTATCCCCATGACGCGTACAATACAATGCAATAGAAAAAAAACTGTTGACCATGAAACTTAAGGTCAAGAACAATTTTTCAGTAACATTTTTTATAGATCTTCACCGATCCGATAATGTAAAACACGCTTATGACTACCAAGACCAAACATTTCTTGACACTCTGTTCAAGAAAGTCGAGCGTACTAAAAAAGATTATTTGTGATACAAATATTGTAATATTTCGTTCATTTATGTGATAATCGTCTCTATTTAACTATAAATGCAGGGATACATTTTCAGTATCGAAGAGAGATTAGTAAAGAAGGAGAAAAAGAAGGAGCTACCAGAAGCGTTTTCCGTCTCCTAGATGAGCAATATTTTTCCACTACGTTAGAGCAAACGTTTGACCCCTTTATTTGGCAAACCATAAATCTACCACAAATCCAATGATTACTTTACTTTCAAACAAATTAATTTTTCTATAGATTGTCTGTTTAAAACGATATATCGAGCTTTTAAATTGCCGAATAAAGGGTTCGTATTAGCATTACCGATTACCGTTTTGTCAATTACTTCGGAATCTGCCTTAAACGAGAAAAGGGTAGCTAAATAAAAGATATCAGTATAATTAGACCTTGATAGTTAATATCTAGAAATGTCATATCGAATACAAAAAGATCCAGATACGTCAATCTTGGACTCCGCTCCAATTGCTATTTGTTCACGTATAAACGAAAGACAATAATGATATGAAATATGGAAGAAAAATATTTCATCCAAGTTAACTATTGCTTTCAATAAACAGTATCGTTTTTAATATAACAGCATCAGTAAAAAAATTATCCACGAAATTATTTTGTTCGATCCCTTAGATTATTAAGATTATACTCATATTGGAATTAAAATATTTTAGATTCAATAGAAATAATCATAGTGTTTCCTGAATTTAAAAAGATCAGCAAAATTAGCATACTTTTCTCGTTATCTGCATATTTTTGACGATATTTCAACTAGTTTTAAGTTTAAACACAAATGGACAATAAAATTACTTTCATCGATAGAATCGTGTTCTATTCATTAACACTTGATTTTCTCTTCCTTTTTGTAAGCTGCTTAAATTGTGAATATACATTAGAATTTGATATCTACATTTTTTAATGATGTCAGTTCGTGATTCCGACCAATAAAAATTTGGAGCAAATTTTTTTTGCTCATTACATATCTATTACTAAACTAAACTTTCTGATGTCCCATATAGAAAATAACAGCCTAAATTCAATCTACAGTTACGTCTAATTGTACAGTACTGCAAGTGTACATAGTATTATACATACACATACTATTCGGTTCGGCTTCTACACATATACATATGTTCCAAAGTTTTATTCATTGATTTTTCTTAAGCGATTGTGTGTGAATTATCGAAGATGTGTGAATGTTCGATAGAAAATATATGTACAGGGTGCAACTGATGATACAATTGGAAAGCAGATGGAAAAAGGGAGTTTAGAAAACTTGTCCGATTTCAACTTATTCTTTCTTCACACTGAATCGTCATTTTATGACTGTACTCTGGTACAGCTACAAGACATTTAGTGTATTATCTTCCTTAATAATTTTTGTTCTCATTTTCTAGTTTTAACAAGCGATAAATCAAATCTAGCATTTCTAACAGTAAATCTTTAATTTTTTTATGAATGAAATGAAACAGTGAAGGAGGAGTATAAGTCATAAGGAACTGAGCAGGATAATTAAGACAATTAAGAATAATTTTACAGTATTATTTACGTGATCCTTGCGTGATACTTACATCAAGTAATAGCGAACGTTGATATTATTTGTAATGTGGGTACTTAACGTACAGCTTACGATCCGAGTGGGTGTACAGGGTGTACAGAAATGTTAGGCGTACTCTACATCTTCGGATCTATGAAGATAAAAAACAGTTTTCGCAAAATTGTCCTGGGCCTTACATTTCATGGTCAAACATTTTTTTATTACATTGTGTTCTACGCGTTGTGGAAATAAAAAGTCAATTCTTCCACAGTTCTTCTATCCCCATGACGCGTACAATACAATGCAATAGAAAAAAAACTGTTGACCATGAAACTTAAGGTCAAGAACAATTTTTCAGTAACATTTTTTATAGATCTTCACCGATCCGATAATGTAAAACACGCTTATGACTACCAAGACCAAACATTTCTTGACACTCTGTTCAAGAAAGTCGAGCGTACTAAAAAAGATTATTTGTGATACAAATATTGTAATATTTCGTTCATTTATGTGATAATCGTCTCTATTTAACTATAAATGCAGGGATACATTTTCAGTATCGAAGAGAGATTAGTAAAGAAGGAGAAAAAGAAGGAGCTACCAGAAGCGTTTTCCGTCTCCTAGATGAGCAATATTTTTCCACTACGTTAGAGCAAACGTTTGACCCCTTTATTTGGCAAACCATAAATCTACCACAAATCCAATGATTACTTTACTTTCAAACAAATTAATTTTTCTATAGATTGTCTGTTTAAAACGATATATCGAGCTTTTAAATTGCCGAATAAAGGGTTCGTATTAGCATTACCGATTACCGTTTTGTCAATTACTTCGGAATCTGCCTTAAACGAGAAAAGGGTAGCTAAATAAAAGATATCAGTATAATTAGACCTTGATAGTTAATATCTAGAAATGTCATATCGAATACAAAAAGATCCAGATACGTCAATCTTGGACTCCGCTCCAATTGCTATTTGTTCACGTATAAACGAAAGACAATAATGATATGAAATATGGAAGAAAAATATTTCATCCAAGTTAACTATTGCTTTCAATAAACAGTATCGTTTTTAATATAACAGCATCAGTAAAAAAATTATCCACGAAATTATTTTGTTCGATCCCTTAGATTATTAAGATTATACTCATATTGGAATTAAAATATTTTAGATTCAATAGAAATAATCATAGTGTTTCCTGAATTTAAAAAGATCAGCAAAATTAGCATACTTTTCTCGTTATCTGCATATTTTTGACGATATTTCAACTAGTTTTAAGTTTAAACACAAATGGACAATAAAATTACTTTCATCGATAGAATCGTGTTCTATTCATTAACACTTGATTTTCTCTTCCTTTTTGTAAGCTGCTTAAATTGTGAATATACATTAGAATTTGATATCTACATTTTTTAATGATGTCAGTTCGTGATTCCGACCAATAAAAATTTGGAGCAAATTTTTTTTGCTCATTACATATCTATTACTAAACTAAACTTTCTGATGTCCCATATAGTATGTATGTATGTATGTATGTATGTACACACACACGTTTATATATGTATATAAACACAAAAACACATATCGAATCAGCTGTTTCTGTTTCGTTCGTCCCATTTATTGTCCGTCAGATCAAGACCTAAAATCTTTGATTCGGATAAGTAGGAGAATCGAGTTCGACGCTTTTATCGTGACAAGAGTACTCAAGTAATTGCGCGTATGCATAAAATCGATGTAAAAACGTAACTTTCGAACTGTAGTCTCGATGAAACGGCTGTTTAGGAGTGCGTCTAACCTTTCGCAGCCACTAGGCTGCCCGAGCAACCATGTAAACCATCGAAAACACACAAATGTATAATTCAAACCGATCGTACGAAAGTGCACTCACGTTATTTTTTGTGAAATATCGGAGCACTTTCATTTATTCCTCTCGTACATTCGCCGATACAGATTTCTACAGACTCCAGTTGATACAGCATAATCAAAAAGTGACAGTACCAGTCCTCAGTGTCAATTTTACTATTAACTATAATACAGTACGATGACTGCAAGATCGAGAAATATAGCTACCAGATTTCACCCCATTCACGGGGAAAATATTATGCTCCTCGAGGATAATACTGTGGCCTATCGTACAGCCAGTTTTGCAGACTCCTTAGCATTTAGTGAAAAGCCACTGCAGCCAGGTGAAATATTCTTGGTGGAAATTGAGAAGACTGAAAGAGGATGGAGCGGAGATATGAGAATAGGTCTCACCCTCATAGATCCAGCCTGTGAAGACAATAGTCTACCACATTTCGCTATGCCTAATCTCTCAGAATTGGGTAATACATGGATATTTGCTATTACCAAGAGTCATACTATATGGGAAAGTTTTGGCATAGGTTACGGTGAGACCTGAGAAATTTTGTTTATTCAATTTCATGCCTTGAAAACTGTATTTTATATTTTATAAGTTTTCAGGTGAAGGAATAAAATCAAGAGAAAAGAAATTGATCACTGATGGTGTACACGTGCAAACTTCTCGCGGAATTATTCCTTTTAATGCTCTCCGAGCAAATACAATACATACTTCTCCAAGCATTCTACCTACAGATGCTGGTAGTCGTATTGGAATTATGTATGTGCCGCAGGCTGGTTCTGACAAGGCAGAAATGCACTTTATAATTAATGGTGAAGATCAGGGTGTATGTGGAAAAGACATACCCTATAAGGCAGGGCCTTTACGTGCTGTAGTAGACGTTTATGGTACTACAAAACAAGTCAGAATAGTTCAATTATACGGAGGTATGTTTCTTTTGCCTCGTAAATATAAAATCTATATGACGATACTTCTTTTTCCTTTAATAATTGTATGATTCAACAGTATCCACGCTACAAAGTGCCTGCCGTGACGCCATATTGCAATATACTAAAAAGAACGCAGTCGACTCGCTTCCACTTCCACGGCTTCTAAAAAATTATCTGCTCTATCAATCGCAGTGAAATTCTGCCACTTCGTATTGCTCTACCGTATCTTCTTCATCTACTTTAGCAACAGGCATTTCAATAATTCCGTAATCTCTTCATATCGGATATTTTCTGTGACTCTCAATAAGTTTAAAATGCACATCGTCGCATCGAATTGTTCTTTAGAAATAAGAATAGACAAGCCAGGCAGGTCTCTCATCTCTTTTTTACCTACGGTAAATGTAATTTGCGTGAATGTTGAACTGAGACGTGTATATAATTTAAGAAGTTCGACAGACTACTGAACACATTTTTTATCCTTACATTTAGCACTTATTAGCAACTGCACTTTTAGAAATTGACAATTTTATCATTCGCTACACTTGTCTACATCGTCATTATGCCGCGTATAAATAGGTGTATGTAAAATCTCATTTAAAATAATTTTCATGCAGTACTTTTAATGTATAACATTCTTTTTTTATTGGTACACCCTACTGTGTAAGCAAGATTTTAAATTGAACGTGACCAATTCAGACTATTGTTAACACTGACGAAAATGGACTCGAATAAATGTATTTATAAGAAAAGCAAAACGTATTTTGTTGAAACGACCTGACCTCAACACCCCTTAAAAATCTTAGAAATACTACAGGCTCGTAAATGAACTACGAACATAGTATTTGTACATTGATATTTTATATCTTTTTACACTTATAATTCGTATTACAATTTTTAAAAAGAGTACGTCTATGAATTAGATTTTCAATGTAAAACGATGACCAGATGTGCTTGTCGGTAAATAAAGAATCAGCATGATAACGTAAGTAAATAAGACAATTAAGAAAGCAAACCATCCGATCAAGATAGAGGTGTACTGCCAAGTAGATTCCCTTTTCTCGAGTGATACCAGATTTGTATTGTCGTCCGCGTTCAATTCGATTCTGGCCGATACTCTCGGATCTAAAATACTCACTAAAAATACTTGACCTACTCTGCTTTTAAAAATCGTAATCGTCGACGAAGATATCCACTTAGGTGCGTCGATGGTCAATTCTTGTAAATATCGTAGAACGACAGTTAATATAAGAGAGAAAACAGCTAGGATAAGAGACTTCTCGTAAAACACAACTAAAAAGTGAAATAACGATGTGTTTTAGGTTTATTATAAGAATTTTTCTTTTCCAGGCTCTCGCTCCCTGCGCCGTAAACGCCTTAAACATAAAAACTTACTTAACTTTGGTGTTTCAGATCCATTAAAAGGAATCTTCCAATGCAAGTCCAATATACAAAGCAGATGTAGAACAAAATTAAAATTCGCTGTTATCATGCGTTCCTTGGTCATTGGCTCTAGCCACAGTACGATCACCGTCATTGTCATTAGCACTATACAGATAAATAATTATCGTCGGTACGTGTTAATTTATTACAGACGCTTATGATAATTTTTACGAACCTATGGCCATAGTCACGTACGATACGCTGTACATGGTAGAAGATCTTTTTAAAAGAACGCGGTAGGAGAATAATTGACTAGTGAAATCTTCAAAAATATCGAACTTAGAACCCATTACACTAACATTTAAGGACATTTCTATCGGTTCCCACTCTGCATTTGGTTCCCCTCTCTAATAAATTAATTTATTGAAAATATCGTCGAAATTTAATTTGAAATCCAATAAAATATACGCACGAAATCGTCGAAATTGTACGGTTCTGCTTGAATATCGATCTCATTGATATGGTGAGACCAAGAAGCTAAGCGTATGTAGCAATCCATTACATTGTAAGGCCACCAGGTATGATCAGAATCGCAAAACGTCGTGTATGTTACCGATGGTACGTAGAATATCGTACCGTCACTGTCCAACACGCAAGGCACCACTGGCATTTCCGTATCAACCTCCCAGATTGATCTGACAAATATCGAAGCTAATATATTATGTACAATGCTTCGAGAATGGTTTTTATCATGTGACTCGGAGAATTGAACAAACAATAAGAGTTGAAAATGAGGTACTTGCTTTCGAAGAAAATCTGACTCATATAAATTAACTCACTCGCTATGCAACACAATATCAGGTATCCAGAGTTCGTAACTCATTGCGTGAAGACTACTGATTTCATATTTCGTTGCATTCCACGTAAGGTGGTTATCTTTCCATACCTATAATTCGCTAATTAGACACATGGATTTCTCTATTAAACGACGTCTTAGACGACTACACTTACCATGCTTACCCAAGCATCGAAATGAACAGTACTCGAGTATTCGTCCTAACGTACAATAATTAATTAATAAAATGCAACTAAATATGTGTCACATTATTAATTGAGTGAGAAATTACTCACGACTTCGAATTGCAGTATTTCTAATCCAAGATGAACCTTAGTGGCGTTTTTTTGATTCTCGATAGGCCCAAGTTCCGGATCGTAAGTACAGAACAGGTAGTCTTTTAACACTTGTAGCGGAGCATTGCTTAAGATATCTTTACAAGCGTAGAACATGCAAAATCCTTGTTTGGTTAACAAGAAGATCACGTATAAGATGCAGAAGAAGAAAATCTTCATGTTGAACTGTAGTAAAAAGCACGAGACCAACCGACAGATGTACAACGACTGCAGACCGATAGGTTCCACAGAATAATCGTACGCCCAGTGAAATATTAAACCGAGATCTTCGAAAACCGCCCCCTTCTATTATCATCGTTTACCCACTTATCATCAGTTACAATTTTCGGTTATAAATAAATTATTACACAAAAAAAGGATAAATCTCTTTTTAATCTGAATTCACCCTTTAGATCAGTGTTTTCGTATTTTTACCATTCAATCCTGATTCTCGCTGACCTTACTACGTCGTACTAGCCATCATTAATTGTTTAGAAAAGTATTTCACAACATACACTATAATATGTATTGCGATGTTGAGAGATTAAAGGAAAATGATCCCCGAAAACCTGCTTTTGAAAGATTGATTATCATTCACCCTGACAAACTATGTAATAAAAGTGTAACTATCTAAAGAAGTTTTAGAGAACTTAAAGTATAAAATAAGGAACTAATTTTTTATAAATTCAATATAGTAACAAATTAAATGAAGTAATATAATACTATAATTAAAAAACTTTCAATTTTTATATACGGATTTAGATNATTATCAGGGATCAAATAAACGAGGCGAAAATTACAAAGGAAAGCAGCACAATTGTTTTATTAAAAATCTGTTGAAATATTCGCATAATGGTCTAAAAGCATTTAAGAAAATAATGACAAATAGAATCAAAAAGAGGATCACTGGAATGATGATTGTTTATTAAAAATGAGCATTTGCGGTTGATTTTCAAGCTAGCACAAGAGTGGCTAGTATGATAATGTAACTGAGAATCACGGCGAAAAGCGAAAGCCATTCGATTATGACAGCCAAGTGTATCCACGCTGAATCCTTAGATCTACTCTCAGATTTAGGCAAATCATTATTATCCTCGTTCTCCCCAGTTAATATCCTGTCAGATAATCTTTCGTTGTCGGTGAGAACAAGGAAACGACCAGCCTTGTTGTTTAATACGAACGACGTGGCCGTTGATATCCAATACGGTACATCGCCGCTCATCTCATATAATTTGCGAAGTAGTACGGTTGATAGTAAAGCGAATAGAGCTAAAGCTAACGAATCTCTGTAGTAGAGTACTGAAAATATTTCCTTGTTATTCGTTATATTGGCGATCGAACAGAATGTAATAGAGTAGAGTACTGCGTTTATCTATACAAAACTACGTAAAGTTGTTACGTTTGTATAATATTGAAAACTCACGTATGTTAGGTGGACGAGTACCATTATGAGGCAATTGCCAATGTAAATCGAAAATGCAAAGCATATGACAGATCAAATTCACGCTGCTCACAGCCATTCTTTCCGTGGACCGTGAGTTCAACCAAAATACTGTTAACGTGAGCAGCATCATCGCTATGGCAGGTATAACGTATGTCGTGTGCATTATACCGTGATGCCGAGTTATTTCAAACTCATAAACAATCATCGGATAAGTATCGTTCGGGCAGCATTCATATTTTTTCGATAATTTGTACGCGTTTTTCACTTTGAAATCCCATTGGGTATTATTCGTATATCCCTCCATTTGATACTGAATTGAAAGAGAAAATTAAAAACGTGAAAAATAATATGAATAATTTGATTCACTCCTCTCATTCACTGATGACTTGCACGCGTTTACCCCTTTCGTGTTTAAATGAATATTTATTTCCTCCCCCGCGTGGGACCACGAACCGAATTTAATTCGACATTGGTGCACGTCATAAGGCCACGAAGAGAAGTCCGTCACGCATTTTGCAACGTGCTTTATCGATGGCACGCAACTGACCGATCCTGAACTGAAGACCAGACATGTCGTCGGTGGTATACCAGTCTGGTCTAACGTCATATCGCCACTGTTTATAAAATTATATCAATTGCAATTTCATATCGAATACAATCTGAAAAAAGTCTACAGGCACCGAGTTAGTCTATACATCTAGGAAATGTCCTAAAAAATCTTTATTAGAGAAGTGAACTAATTTTGTTGTACGAAGTACGAAGTAATAACTTTTCAGTAGTCTTCCTTACGAATTATAAACAGAAAGATCGGGCACCCAAATATCCTGGCTCTTCAAGTGAATATACTTGATATCGCCAAATTCACTAGGGTTCCAAGTTAAATGAGCATCGTTCCACGTCTACAAATAAAATTTGGTCGAATTTTTGCCCAGAGGAAGAAACATCTAAATTAAACTGGTAGTAAACGTCGCTTACGAGCGTCATCCAGCTATGTAACGTCATCTTGCTGTTCCACTCATCCTAAAGAGATCGAGAATATCGGATTTTTTAAAATTGTATCAAGCTAGTCTTAAAAAATCTCGAACCGATCAACTTACAAACTCCAATATTTTGGGTAAAAGTTTCATCGTCACATTGTTGGCGACCTGATGAGAAGAAGTTGGTCGAATGGTCTTATCGTATTCGCAGAAGAGATGTCTTCTCAGATTTAACATTGGCGACACACTGCTAATATCTTTGCACTGCATCACAAGCTCGTTAAGGAAGTGAAAAGATGACTCTGCCAAAGAAGTATAAGAAGATCAGGTGAAATTCTTAACACGAAGAAGATATATTCACTTTACCCGAACGACTCTGGCAAACAAGGGAGAGTAAACCGAACACCGTTATTATTCTCATTTTAATCAAAATCAGACGAGAGTCACCAGTTGACTGAACGATTTTCGTTCCGGGACCAAATGATTATCAGACGCCCAGTGAAACTCGAACCGAGACGCCCCCAGAGTGGTTCAATACTTTTTCAAATATTTTCAGATACAGTAAGAATAATGAAACGATTAGGCAGATATATGTCCATGGTAGATAATCATTGATTTGTACAATTTTTATTTCTTAAAATAGTTAGTTTATTAAAAAAATTTGCTAAAATAACATGTACTAAACTAATTGCGTTTAAAATAGTTTGGTATCTATTATAGTAAGAGGAAAGTCTCGAGATTACGTGAGTAAAATTTGAAAATGAGGCAGAAGTTATGATATATTTATTAGAAACACACTCAATGAGTAGCTAAACAAAAGTATTCGAACGCTACATATATTATTACATTAATTAACATTAACATTTTGTTGGACCACCTTTAGCAGTAATAATGTGGTTCAGTCGACGTTCCATACTATAAACCAATAATTTTATAAAAGTATACTCAATGAAATTCCATACTTGAAACAAGCAAACATGGAGTTTGTTACCAAGTCTAAAGTGTTGAACATTAAAAAATATATTGTTAATTTTGAAATAGTATTACGAAACGATAAACACCGACTTATAAGACTGTTCTATACATTTTCTCGTTGTTAGGTGAAAATGGCTAATATACATATGTATACTGATTGAATTGTTCAATTCCTAATCGCCGATAGAACATCAACATTAATTGCAATGATGCTCATTCTCTTGTCAGAGAAATACATCGCTACGGTTCTCACAGCTACGTGGACGCAATCCCCGATAGACTCCTAGAGCATGCGTAATATGCGCAATGCTGCTTACAGTGCTTATAGCATGTATGTATGTATGTACGTATATGCCAGCACAGGCGATGGCGATAAGCGCTAGTTCGCCGCGCGATTTCGTGCGGTCGTGTATGATATCGTGACGTAGTGTCAGCACTCTTTATACGTGGGATGCAGTAGAGATATAATTAGAAGGAACGACAGATTCGAATGCTAGATACGATTAGACGAAAATAATGAAATACGTGGGGGCCCTCGATGTGGGAACCACAAACGTGCGTTTTCATATACTTGACGAAGAAACGAACATCGTTGCCTCGTCCGTTGAAAAGGTTTGACGAATTTGTTTATTATTTTTTATTAAATTTTGTAAAAGAGCATGACCAATTTTGCCGGAATCTCGCATTTTCGGAGCATAAAGTTTCCAATTTTCAAACTTTACTGCCTCGAGCCTCTGGATTTCGTCAACGATGTAATTGCGGACAAATCGATGGTGGTGGTTTTACAAGAGTATCTACTCATTGTCAGAATAAATACTTGTACGTAGAAGTACGTATATAGAAGTACTGGCGCAAGCGGAAAAGTTTAGATTGTATTTCACTAGATCCCTGAAGCACGTTGCGAAGCCGCGTCGGATGTAGACGCACACATATTCGTAATTCGCACGTACATACTTATGAGCCGTAAGCATACACGTGTTCAGAATACGTGTGCATGTCGATAAGGAATGTTACATTAAAAAAATATTTCTGAATGTGTAGAAATATTCACGCGTGTAATAGAATAAACATTGTTCTGCGCTCAAGATTATGTAATGATCGAAGGATAATCTTTGAATAAACATGGTTTTAACCCATTAGCCCTTGAGAGGCATGCATTTTATTGATCGCGGAATATAGAAAATCGCTTCACCAGTACAACTTCATTATACTACTAATATATCTATATGTTTGTTATAGTATAATACTATTATTATAATAATGAAGGTATATACTCTATTACGTGTATATTCTAAGCACTAAAACTAAAGGAAATCGAAATCGGATTCATTACGTTATTTTCAGTTATTTTTCATGATTATCGTATCTACTAAACGGACTCATATAGTACCAGTAAACTGTTGATAATCTAATCATTTCTTAGGAAATTAATAAAACTATCAATCACACGAGTAATATGAAGAAATCTGTTTTATGTAAGTATCTTATCTCGTATCTCTTTCCACGATAATACGGTAATTATTATCGAATAAGTCCATTACTTGGAGAATGCATTTGTGCGCCGTTTGTACGAAACGGATTCGAATGCATTATACATATGTACGATGACCATATCCGTTTGGTGTGCATGCGAATCCAACCGATATGATACATGTATCAACGGCAATTCATATGTCCGGTTAATGATGCATCTGCCGCAGTGGTTATTAACTTACACTTACGCTTGGTATCGCGTCTGCAGTTATTTCGAATTTAAACCGCCAGCAGAACCGTGTTGTCTGTTTATCGCTCTTAGAATGATCAAAACTTAATTTTTGTCGATTAACAAATAAATGAATAAGTAACGCCTTTAACGTTAGGTCCAACTATTACATCCAGAACCTGGCTTCGTGGAAATAGATCCAGACGAGCTATGGAAAACTATAGTGAACGTAATAAAAAATACTTTGAGGGGTAACAACACACTTGATTTGACTATCGTAACTATAAAGCAAAGTATGAACTGCATAGATGTAAGAATTATTTTCAATTACAATAGAGAGCAAGATAGACGCGGAGTCGATAGTTTGTCTCGGCATTTCCACTCAACGAAGCAGTTTCACGACGTGGGATTTGAGCGATGGGCATCATTATCATAAGTAAACACAACTGTTTAATTGTTAATTTTGTTTGTACGACTCGTAAGAGGCGTAGAAATATTTACGAAAATCGAGTTTCAGCTTCATCACGTGGAAAGATTTACGCGCTGACGGCATGGTAAAAGAATGGAACTCGTCCTTAACTATGAAATTACTGCGACTGGGCTCACAGATTCTGTACACGTTCACGGGCAAGAAAAGATACGTAGCCAGCAGCGTTTTCAAATTCATGAACCAACAGGTGATTCTTGGATGACATAATAATTGATGCATCACGGATGATGCATCACGGATGATGCAATCAGATAGAAGATCAAGGTTGTAGAGAAAAATGTTTTCGATAAAACAGGAATTTAATGAGGTCGACAAATTTGCCAGAAGCTATAAAAAAGAACGTTCTAATTTCATTTTTAACTCGCTCTCGCATATCGATTAACATTTTCTACGCCTGCACGACACCCTTCAGGATAACTACACCTCGTATAAATGGTATTACTGCTATTCTAGTCGAAGAATTTTTAACACACATCAATTAATTACTACAAATAATACAGTTCAGATTTCTGTTACATGTATCTGAACAAGATTTTATAACGCGATACTTGTTTGAAAACCTTGTTCTGTGCCATTAATTTACTTGTGTGAATACTTGTGATCAATGTCGGACTTCTTATTACATTACAACGCTTTTTGTATTGTTCTCGGTAGAAGGAACCACTAACTTATTTGAATTTATAACTAAGATTATAGACAGTAAATTATATAAGACGCTGTATAAATTATTTAATATGATAAACATAAATTAAATTTTGTCAATAATTCATGTCTGATGTGTCTGAACATTACGTCGCGTAAAGGTACTAACATTAACGGATCAGAACGGATGAATATTATAATTTGTTCATTAATGCAAATGACAACAAAAAGCATGCGTAATTTAATCTGTCGACAATGATCATTGGTCACGTTTCAAGGAAGACTTGGAAAACAGGAAATACAATTGCAAAGAGAAGGCCAACAGAATGAAGCGAGAATAATGAATAGTTGTACAAGTGAAAAGGAAAGGAAACAAGAAAAGGAAAAGCAAAAATAGGAAAATAACTTGTAATGAACTGATAGAAGCTGATAGTAGCACGATTTCCGATTTTATATTTCAATTTTTAAATTATGTACAAATTGACCGCGAATGCTAACGAACGAATATGAATTGTTCTATCGTGAGATCGGTGTATGTACCTCGCGATAATTTCTGCTGATTCAAGTTGCAGCCTTTCACTTTCTCTTCCCTTTTTCAATCCTCCAATCTACCGATTTTAACAGAACCAGAATCCGAAAATAAAAACATCACAAAGCGTGTATTTTCTACATATATTATGGTTGTTGTAAAATGAAATTTCAAACGCAGGTCGAGATTCTGCGATCTCGGTTAATCGCAGAAATCTCAAGTTTTATCTTTTGAACAAAACGTGCAGTTATACCGTCGAATTGAATACCATACCATTTTTCGGAATTCTTTAGCAAATCACACAATTTTTATTAATTATATAGATTTTTCAAGTATTCATTCGGTTATTGATTTCATCTTTAATTTGATCGACGAAGCCTTGTCTTAATTATAGTTTATTTGCGTCATTACTCATGTTATAATGGAATTTAGATTACTCTGCGGTTAGTGTGGGCTCTACAAAACGTGCCAGGTTTGCAAGAAGCAGTGAACAATGGGAATGCCGTCTTCGGCGGCGTTGATTGCTGGCTTTTGTATAAACTCACCGGTATTCATTTCAATATTACATGATTTTAACAATATCATTACATAATGAGAAATTAATTTATTTTAATATATTTTATTATCAATTTCTTGAATCCTTAATTTTTTCATATCGCTTCTCCATAAAAGTTTATTTTCAAATTATACAAGATCTAAGCTCTGTCTAAATTAAACTTGAAATTTTATATTTTTTATAGGAAGACACATTACAGATGCTTCGAATGCATCGGCAACCGGACTTTATGATCCATTTACTATGTCCTGGTCAGGAATATTGATAAATATATTGAAACTTCCGTACAGCATATTCCCGGAACTAGTGGATACGAGTGGAAATTTCGGTGTCACTCCGAAAGAAATATTCGGTGCTGAAATTCCAATACTTTGCTCAGTAAGTTCTATAATTTTAAATTAAAAATGCAATGCTATAAATATCTTCTCACCGCGAAATAAATGAACAGGTATTACCTATTTTTTTTAGTAAATCTTAAAATTAAAACTGTCATTTAAAGTAGATGGCGGATCAGGCAGCTTCGCTTTTTGGTCAAGGCTGCATAAAACCAGGAGATTTAAAGATCACTATGGGAACTGGAACATTTGTGAACGTGAATACCGAAACCAAGCCACACGGTTCCATAACAGGTATACAATTATCTTTTTAAAAACAGATGTTTAGTCTGTAAAATAGTCTCGATCAAAACTACTGATTATACTGCTTAAAATACTGCTTAAACTCGTTTTTCGACAGGATTGTATCCTCAAGTTGCATGGCGTATAAAAGACGAATTAGTATACATGGTAGAAGGCGCATCCAACGACACCGGTACTCTCATCGAATGGGCAAAGGAACTAGGTAAGAACTTATTCATTTTTATGATTTTTATGATTTTTAACAACGAAACTTTGTTTCGATTAATATTCACTGGAGATTACTGCATTTGTAGCACAGTGGCATTTGCAAAACGCTAGAATTTTAAAGATTCAGCTTGTTTTAGGTATAATTGATCAAGCTGATGAAACAGCGAACGTAGCATATTCGGTAAAGGACGCCGACGGAGTATGTTTTGTTCCTGCGTTCAGTGGATTACAAGTACGTTTATATTCTTAACATCGTTGTTAATATTTTCTAACATGTCCAATTTGTTAAATTTCTTTCTTAATTTATTACCAGGCTCCCATAAACGATTCTACCGCAGCCACTGGATTTATAGGCATAAAACCTAGTACAAGGAAAAATCATATAGTTCGCTCGGTGCTAGAAAGTATCGTTTATAGGATAGTCTTGATTTACCAATCGCTACGCGCAGAAACTTCCTTCACTTATCATAAAATACGGTTAGCAACGAAACTTTACACGAAAACAATTTTAATAATCATTGATATTTATCGATACACGTCCGGTTGTAGAGTCGATGGCGGAGTGTCTCGAAATGACTTCGTATTACAATTACTTGCCGACTTGACAAATCTCGAGGTGGAACGAACAAAAAACACGGAAATGTCTATTCTTGGTGTAGCGCTTTTCGCTGGCTTACAATGCGGTATTATAATATAAAATACGTTACTACTTATAAGCTTTCAGGGGAATGTAATTATGAAATGTAAATTTCAACAAAGGAAAGATTGTTTCTATTTCACAGGCGTATGGAAAAACAGAGAAGATATCTTTAAATACCGTAGAGTAGAGAAGACGTTCAAGCCGAATAAGGAGACCAGAGAAAGATATCAACCGATAATTGCTCAATGGAGGCGAGCTCTGCAGAGACTCGCAAAATGGTACTGAGAAACAGTACGTTTTCGATATTTTTTATAACAAACATAATTCTGTATAATATTCGATGAAAAAGATTTGTTAATATGAATTTGTACATGAATACGATAAGGTTCGTGATAAATACATTTTTCTAAGAAATTATAACATATTGTTTGTTTTGTCAACATTCCTCTAAGCTTGTTCTCTTCTCTTACAAACCAACCAACCAACCAACCAACCAACCATCAATCTCAATACAAAACAGCCATTAGTCATTTAATAAATATTCTTTCAATAAAATTTTCCTTAGAAAGTACGTATTATATTTATGTCTCAAAAAATACCGCGTAGAAGGATGGTATGAAAGTTCCGATCGACGCACTTCTCATTATCAGTGCTATTCGAGATTGCCAACAAATCGACATTACTTTATCCATGGACATGAGCGTATAAGAAAATTATATGTCAAACTTCAATAGCATATGATGGATTTACGTGGTATTAACAGCTGGTCAGCTGGCCAGTTAATTGTAACATTTTTCTTAGTAATTCCTGTCCTTAGTGTCCTTCATGCAAACATCATGTTTCTAAAGGAAGGACGTGAACTTTTCAAGAACGTTCCATGAAATATAATTTCATTCGTAAAATCATAATTATCTGCTGACCTATTAAAACGCTGAACTCAAAAAATAATGGATTTCTTTAAACTTTTTTCTAAATCATAACTAGTTATTCTAACTAAGTGTGTCAATTTTCTCATGTTATTAACACTACAACTAAGTACCGGCGGTTGACGTTTATGTACCTACTTTTAACGGAGGGGTCAGAGTATCTTGTTTTTCAAATTAATAAGTCATCTAAGAGAACACACAGCAATTTTCGTTGTACTCAACGTTTTCATGAGTAAAAATTGAATAACAAACTGTGATAATGATAATAGTAATAGTTTAATAACAATAATTTTCAAAATAATCACTCTTTTAACCTACGTTCCGCGGGGGTCAAAATGACTCATTTCAGTATATGTAGGTATACAATTATACATATATCAAAAAGACAAAAAAAGAAAACTGTTTTACAGAATTTGTCATTTGCACATTTTAGAAAAAGTCATACAAAATTTTAGAAAGCAAAATGTACTGGAAATGAATAATGATTATACGAAATGCCGAACAAATTATTTTGAACCCCCTTGGTAGATCTAATGTTAAGTAACAGAGGAAGATTACGTTTGAAACTTTCTCGATTACGCTTACATCATACATATGAGTCTGCACGCACCGTGAGACCGGATAGTATAATCTGAATCGACGGAGAAAGTTCTCGAAGAAACTCGATAGAGTACTTATGGAATGTGCTAGCGAAAAAAATGTTCAACTAGTTCTGCTTTAATTTCTTTTCGTTCCAACAGCTCGAGCTGTACAAATAGTATTAAAAGGTGAATGTTTCGAAAAATTGCGAAATCATCTTCACGAAAATGGTTAATGTCAATAATAGATACAGAATTTCCAAAAATACTGTTTTCGTATGTGCATATGGAGAAACCTCGCATGAGATAATTAAATGTCAGTTGCCAGCGTTTGTATGCAAACAAGCGCGACCCCGACGTCTTTTTTAAACGGTCCAATGAATATCACTACCGTCAGTTACTTCCACCGATACGTGATCGTCGATTGCTCCTGATTCCGAGCGACGCAACGATTTTCTTCGTAAAATCCACAAAAAAAAAACAGTTCAGTTAAAAACCTGTCTGGATCGCGTGAGTTCTCAGTAATAAGACGTGAATTTACAGTGATTTATAACAATAAAAAATGGTGAGTGTTTTTTTTTTTTTTTTAAGTAGCTCGACATCGAGCAAATTCCTTTTTCTTTAAGATATGAAATCGTTTATAAAAAAAAAAACAGATTAGTGTCGTTTGATAATAAATTGCAGTAAAAACTACAAATGACAAACTGAAATATCGTATAATACACGTGGTATCAAGTTTCGTTATTAAATATCGTGAGTTTTAAAATACAAGGAATTTGAATTTAATACATATATATGTTTAAGAAGTGGTACATCCGCAATGATTGTAAATATTATAGTAAGAAATGAAATATAAGTAGTAAGGTATTACACAGTTCGAGGCAATATATGTATAACGCGAAGCGTGTGAGCTTATGGCTACAGAAACCTGATGATTTGCAAGTAAAATCATACGTTTTATTTATTCTGTATGGAATTCTGACCCTGCTGAATATTTTACTATAGACGCATTAGGTGATGCTCGATTATACGCTAGCACAAAAAGAAGAAGTTTCAAGCATAAAAGGAAGAAAGAATAAAATAGTGAAATGAAGTTTTCCAATCGAATACCTTAATTTCGGACTTATCGTTCGTAATCAGAATAGAGTATGAAGATTATTTGTTACGTTCTATTATGTATGAATAAAAACATTAGAAAAGATGAAATACTTGCAGTGAATAAAAATTGTTAGATATAGAATGGACAAATATGTTTCGTAGTTAGTATATGTTAATCAACAGGAACGCGTTAACGGAAACACTAACTTAGTTATGCCATGCAGTATTTAAACTCTTGCTTATTATATCAGAAACTTTGCGCCGCCCGTAGGTGTCCGATTTTCCGGTATAAGCGTGTGTAACCATCCAGTCGTACCTACTTTCAATCAGCGAAAGGAAAGGCAAAAGTAGCTTGACCACAGAAACATTATGCTTTTCTCAGTATGAATATATGTACATGATACATTCTTATTGTAAGCGTTTTTCGAATCGCGAGAATTTAATCAGTACACCGAAATTGAGCTATCGGTAAATTGTATCAAACACGATTCTGTCACCTCCAATCTTTTAAACGTTTTGCATTTCTCGAGATGGTGTGGCAACCGAAACGGGGGTCCTGCGACCCGGGAACAGTCGTCGTACAACTACGTAAAAGGCAACGTCGTCTTTTCTCTACTCTAAGATTATCGAGATGCATCTACCTTCTTAAATCTTACGATTAATTCAGGCCGATTACTTTTCAAAGGCGTGATAGTTTTTTGTTCAAGAACATGATTGTTACATAAGTACGTGGACAGAACTGTGTTTCTACTTCCAATTTTCTCGGATATTTTGATAATTGTTTCGCGCAATTAATTGAGTTCGAGATACTGTTACGATCATCGACGATGTGCTTAAAGGGAGAAGAAGAAGAAGAAGAAGAAAATAGAAATAGACTGTTCGAGTCATAAAAATCAAAATACACGAGTTATCTTTTTAGAAGGAAGAAGGAATATCTCACGATACCTCATCAAACTTCTGATTCAGGATCATAATTTTGTTTCGTCACTGTCGAGTGCTTTAAATGCAAATTAGATCTCAATTAGCCACCACGCGAGGATATTGAAAGCATTTTGCTCGTTTACCGTGATACGTAAACCGTGATCTCTCCTATGTAAATAGAGATGTACTAAAAACATTCTATCCTTAATTAATCAACGTTACGTCCAACGACCAACGTCCATATACATATACACAGCGACTTTATATTTGAGTTTACTTAGTATTGTGTGTTAACGATGGTACTGTAGTATAGTTTGTTAACGATGGTAATACCTTCGACTTTACTTGCAGACGGAAGTAGCAGTTGACATTAATGAGATAGAACAAGGACCGCTGGAGACGAAAGATATGAATCCGGTCGCAGAGGAATGTCGGATCGATATGCAATCAGGATTATCAAACGAAGTCGATTGTAAGTAGAAATTGAACGAATTCTATTGTGATCAATTTTCCGTCCTTCTATTTCTCTTGTCATATATGTATAAAAGTAGAAACTAAAAACACGTATAACTTCATTTATGGATTGAACGACTATTACAATTTCTAATTTGTTCACGATTCTTAAATTCGTTGAGAATTTTAATTCTCCTATACGTATGTGTACTTGTACAATCTCGAAGTCGAAGACCGAATAGTCTTGGCGTGCACGTTTCCGACATAAATTGTATCAGTGTTTGAATTAAAAAATGCTCGCAATCGCAAGCGATACCACATACTTCATGTTTTCAAGAAGAAACGTCAACTTATCAGTTTTCCGTTCATAAATCTTAATATCTCAACTTAATTACATTTGAAATATGATAAACGCGGAAAAACAGTTTTCGCTATAAAAAGCAATGTGACCCAAGTCCAATGTTTAATTCATATTCCGCCGTAATTAATCGTTCGGAAAAATTTTTGGCGTGACAAAAATCATCAACCAACGCGTGCAAGTTCAATTGATAATAAATATAAAATGAAGTAATTAACACTGGTCAATCAGATCTTGCATTTCGAAAAAAAAACTGATGTGAAGTGAATATCGCGACGAGTATTAAACTGAGCATATTGTATTATCTGGCAAAACCAGGCTTCTTCGCAGGCGCACGAACGAACGCACTAGAGTAAGGAAGGAGTTATAAAAAGCGGTTGGTTATTCATACAGACGAGTTTGTTTCGCGTTTACGTCTAAAGAACGCGCATCACTTTGATAATTTCATCCGCCGTTGATCTGCGTATGTTGATTAACTTTCATTTCGTGAACGTTAAAAGAGTATAGCGAAAAAATCAGCAGCTGCAAATAATTCTACAACCGATATATTAGTGCTAATGAAACTGTGAACGTTGAATATTCGACCTTGAGCGCAGTATTTGATCATTTAAAGAAGGTGCGTTTCCTCAGGCTATGCGACTATCATCGCTGTTCATCATTGGACGCAAATTGCCGGCTACTTTCATTTTTTGCAATTCTACTAACACGACTGAAAAAGCGATACCTATCCATAAACACGTGTTTATCGCTCATTAAATATACGCAATTTAAATTTTTCTTAAGTGCAAGTCAATTATTTGCAAATATCATATAGAATACTGGATAGTGTAAAAAATAAATACGAACAACACGTACGTCCTCTTATCATTAATTTTAGAGTCTTTGAAAAGTATATGAAAAAATTAGTCATTAAACCAATTAGGAATGAAACATGTTCATCATCGTTACATTGCAAACTCAGTACCTAGCTTGCTCTCACGTAATAATTCACAGAGACGTATTTATCTGCAGAACTACATAGTTAATTTATATGACTCGCAAAATATATAATAGTATATTGTGCACCAAGGGTCGAAAGTGGTCTTTTTTAGCCACGCGTTATGTTCACACAGATGAAGATTAGCAAATTAAATGTCTGTAAATACGTACCTCGCCTTAGTGTAAAAATTAAAAAATAACCCTTTCATAAACTGACTAAATCAATTTATTTCATTTGTACGCGATTTTTAGGCAATTTCAACTCTCCGTTTCTATTTAAAAGGACATTAAAACAAAATCATCAAGAATTAAAAAGAAATACGTCAATAAGATATGAGCCACGTAAAAATTACAGTGGAACCGGCAATACAATCGCATAATAATACCCATGGTAGGAATTTCACAGAAAGATGTGATACACTGATGATGCATGCTTTGAAACATCGTTCTATTAAACGTATCGTTTAATGTAGGTCTTTATTTTACACACCCGATATTGAAAAATCTTCAATGCTCGTCGAAAAATTTTCAGAATTTTGCATGCAACAGAACGTGGGAAAAGTATACGCGAAATTATTCAATCCTCAATAATTGTACATTACAAATAGAATAAGATAAGATATGTCATATTACTCACTCTGTATTAAGCAGTATCTTCAGTCCTACGCTAATAGTAACAGCAACCTAAACACATTTAAGAAATTATTAGTTTTTTCGATCAAATAAATTATATACAATACAAAAATAATCGTTCGATCATAATCGTGCATACAATTTCAGTATAACAAATATTAATACGAATAAAAAGTTTGTAAGAATAACATGCATTGCGATTTATTCATTTTTACATATATTTTTGGCTGGAATTTGAACTGTCGAGAGAGTTTCGAGTCAAATTCGCAAATGTTTTACACACGTGAAATACTGAATGGTTACTTGTCATGACTTACAATGAAATTCTCATACTGCTTTATTCTCAAGGTATTCAGAGCACTTCACACATTTAATACACATATTTAACAAATCAAATCGAAAAAAAAGTAAGAATATCGTCACAATCACAGAGATACGATCTTATGCACAGAGGTATTTATCAACTGATCACATATTCACTCATCATATAATTTGGAAACGACATAAATCGACATAGTAGTGACATCTGTTCAAGAATATCTGTTCAAATGCATGCAGCTCTTCTTTATCAATTCCGTCATTCGCGTACAAAGTAAACTCTTCTCGCCAGAGAATAATGATGATGTCAAACGACTCAAACCGTATTTTTCAGTTTCTTATCATCATCCTCCAGAGCATCAAGTACGTGTACTGGCGTGTACTGATATCTGTGAACGTTTACACATTTAATTCTCCAGCTCTTACAATTCGCTACCGGTCACGATCGATTTGTTTATGTATATATTATATCATCTTATTAATTTTTAGTATAAAATAATTGTTTATGCTTGCATAAAACTTCGATGCGAGTAAGTTAATCTTTTTATGAAATTCAGAATGTTTACAATTTTAATTAACTGTGAGAACTACACGTTATCATAAAAATTCATAAAACATTCGAGAAAAGACGTTCTTCATGCTGGCAGAAAGTTTTAGAATGATTATTTGTAAGAACTGTAATCACAACAGTTTTGCAAATCGTTTGTTCGCAGTTGAAAATAATTGAATCTTTCACTTTGACGTAAAAATTGGAATGTGAACTTTCACTTTCGTATTCACGAGGAGAAATCCAGTACTTATAAATAGACGTAATATTACACATATTTTAGCCGGACTCTTAATTCGCTATTATATGTAACAGAAAATACGACAATACAATTCTTTCAAAGTTTTATATTAATGAATTTGTACACGTGTATAGATAATTCAACTATGACTAAATAATTCGATTACATTATTTTCTCTAATAAATACAGCACGTTTGTAAGTAACGGATTGTACACCAACTTTTAATACATTATTTATGCCCGTAACGAGATTGTTTAATATTTATTTATGCGAGTATTGATGATTTTATATTACCATGCAAATGAGTATCTTTGTTTCACAACCACAACTTGCATATACATAAACCACTAATTTTTCCAATTGTTCTTTTTTTATAATCTATCAAAATTCTGCACCTGATAATGAATTATAGTATATATGTACGTATAATTTTTATATGGTACACAGAATATCTTTAAATATCACAAATATCAAGCTTAAATATTCAGATGGTATACTTACATTTATACAATAATATCCAATGTATATAGTAATTGCACTTTGTTTATATATAATATAAAACATTGTTTTGTTTTATAATTTTAGCACAAACTAATGGGAAAATGATGACGGACTATGCAAGCGTAAGTATTCTTCGTTCTATTCCATATGGTTAGTTATAAAAATATGATCATTGAAGATATATTGGATAAATATTATAAACTTATAGATAGATTAAAATACATGTTTATTTATTTGATAAAAATGTACAATTTCTTTTTCAGCTTGTTGAACGCACGCGAAATGCATTCCTTAGTGGTAAGACTAGGCCGTTGGAATGGAGAATAAAACAAGTGAAGCAGGCTCTACTGATGTTAAAAGAATGCAGACAAGAGATTCTTTCTGCTCTTACTGCAGACTTGCGCAGAGTTCGTAAAATAATTATTCATTAGTCAATGTCCTATTTGCTTTCCAGATTTAAATATTTGCGTAATGTATACTTGCTTTCAGTGTAAATTTGAAGGTGTTGCTTTAGACGTACTAGTCACAGAAGGAGAGGTTCAAGAATTATCTACGCATCTTAAAGAATGGGCAGCTGACGAAAAGGTATCACGAGATTATTTTTTGTAATCACTAATAATTACAATGCAAATACATAATTTGAATCTACCACTGTGAACTACCATCACTTATATCTTACAGCCACCAAAATCATTAGTGAATATATTGGATGGGGTACAAATTAAAAAAGATCCATATGGCGTAGTTCTTATTATGGGACCGTGGAATTACCCCTTTCAACTATGTGCAATCCCTCTTATAGGTGCAATAGCTGCAGGAAATTGTGCCATTCTAAAACCATCAGAATTATCTCCTGCTACATCGAAAGTTTTTGCAAAAATAATACCAAAATATTTAGATCAAGTGTGTAGTATGAAAGATGTTTATAAATTACATTACATACAATTGTTTATTGAATTGTTAATTGATTACTTGTTTATTTTCTTTTGTAGGAATGTGTTCACGTTGTATTAGGAGGCATTCCTGAAACAACAGAACTGCTTAAACAAAGATTTGATTACATCTTTTACACAGGTTCAACCACAGTCGGGAAAATTGTTCGTGATGCAGCTAACAAATACTTAACGCCCACTACCTTAGAACTTGGTGGAAAAAGGTAAAACATTTATATATTCGGAAGTAATATATTGTTGGATTACATACTATGATATAAAAACAATTACGACCTTTTTCAGTCCTGTATACATAGATAACACAGCGGATTTAAATATCACTGTGAGAAGAATAATTTGGGGTAAATGCATTAATGTTGGACAAACTTGCATCGCTCCTGATTATGTACTCTGTACTCCCGAGATTCAAGAGAAATTTATAAAAAAAGCGGAACAAGTTCTGAAGGAATGGTTTGGTGATAATCCCAAGGAAAGCCCAGATCTCGCTCGTATAATTAATGAAACTCATTACCAGTAAGTTAAGTCCTTTTACAAATTTGTTCTACATCATTATTGTTTACGTAATTTTGGATTGTCTGATATCTTCTATTATGCTTTTATAGACGACTAATAAAATATTTAAGCAATGGTAAAGTAGCATTAGGAGGAGTTTGTGATCCTACTGAGAGGTATATTTCGCCGACTATACTTGTCGATGTTAAACCCACGGATCCAGTGATGCAGGAGGAAATATTTGGTCCAATATTACCATTCATAAACGTGAATAATGCTTACGAAGCAATCAGTTTCATAAATAACCGGTAAGTTGGTTTAAATACCAACTTTTTCTTAAAATAATCCCTTAAAAATGAAAATCAACTACAAGACTTAAATTGTAAAATAATAACGATACAGTCTTTATTATGTATTCTCTTTTATTTGTTTATATTGAGAAATTATATTTAACTTCTTACATTTAGCGAATCCCCACTCGTACTCTATATATTTTCCAAGGACAAGAAAGTACAGGACTTAATAATAAATCAAACCCGTAGCGGAAGTGTAGGAGTAAATGACACGATAATGCAATATATTGGTGAGTTAGGTTTAGCTGGGTGATAGAGCATTGCTTGTTATTGTATAAGATAGTAGTACCTATCGCCTGTTTGAACTTTACTGTTCAAATACCTATCTACCAATTAATAATAGTAGCTGTAGAAATTTTAAATTAGGTATCATACTTTTCAGTATTTATAACAGTAGAACACTTTTTAATTCCTATAACATTTTTATGCATGAAATTATTTGAGGAGTTGGTTTTTATTGCATTATCGAATTATACTGTCTTAATTTGCCGGTACGTGTAACAAAATATATATATTGATATTGATGATGGGCTTAAAGAGATGATTCATGTTTCCTAACTGATCATAATGCTCATAATGATAAGGTGTAATGTACTAAACTGTTGATAGCTTTTGTTCTATTCATGCGAACATATGCATATTACCGGCTTTAAATTGTTGCATCTTTCGTACAGGGAGAAGCCTTTAGCATTGTACATATTTAGTACTGATACCAAAGCTGTATCGTTAATACTCGACAATACAAGCAGTGGTAATGTTTGTGTTAATGATGCCATGATGCATGCAGCAGGTATTGGATGTTCTTATTGATTTCACATTAATATGAATATGATTTCGTAATGCAAACATGTACATAACGACACACAAATTCTGAGACAATGTTTTAGCTTAGCATTTTCCGATGCACATTAATTGTGGAAGTTTAAATAATATATTTGCTTTCCTTTCTGTTCTGCGTATATATGTATGATACATTTTGTACTATACTAATTCTAATTTAATTTAATGTGCATTCCTATGTTTCTACATATAGCGTAGAAACGCTACTGGACACTAAATAATCGCATTTACCTATCTATTTTTTAGTTGACACTTTACCCTTCGGTGGAGTGGGCAATTCTGGTATGGGATCTTACCATGGAAAGTATACTTATGATTGCTTTGTACACAAAAAAGGAATTCTTATTAAAGACTTCAATAAGCTAGGAGAAACGATTGCTTCGTAAGCACTACACATTATTTACCATGAGGATGAATTTACGAATGAGTAATTATTATTTGCTTGACGTATTCCAGATGTCGGTATCCACCATATACCGATAAAAAATTGACTTTCTTAGAATTTCTAATGGCAAAACGCCCTGATATACCAGGAGCTAAATACATTCCACATCTCTTAGCATTTGGTTTAGGAGTCCTTGTCACATTTGGTGTTACAACCATGTTAAAGGTATATAAACTTAGGCATATTTAGTGCACTTTTCAATTTCTCTTTTGCTCAACTAAACAGTATTTGTCACTGCACAAATTGCTATCACACAGTGTATAAAAGTTTCAATATTTGTAAAGCGTTGATATAGTTGATATTTTTGTTGTATTTTACACTGAATGTGTAATTCATCACTCGTGAAAACTTTACACTCGGAATTATCTGTAGTAGTTGAATTTTGAAATCATGTTGTATTCTTATATATTTTATGCATATGTACTTAGTTCTGTGTCGTCACGCTTATAAAGATATTTGTTGTGAATTGCAAACAAAAACCACTGAACAGTACGCACACTTAATTAATGTTATCATTTATCATATATGTGTTAACATTATATAATTTATCAAAAATTCAATAANCTGTATATTTATTAATAATAAAATTTCTAGCATACATTATATATTATCAAAGATTTGTTCATACGTGTAATTAGCACACTTTTCAAAATACTAGTATTTCCTTTACTTATAGTGTAATATATTATATATACATGTCACGCAACGTTTCGTTAAAGACTCAATATCAGGGTTTTAAATATTTATATATAATGTATCCAATATCTCGATTTACTTTTTTTCACATATGACTGATCATGGCAGTTCATCTGCACAAATACATTTATCAATTGAACAGTTAACATAAATCACAGCTCAATTTCTTACCACTCAACTATTGTTTCCAAGTGACTGACATCTCTCCCCCTTGAGTACTATCGCGTTGCGGACTCTAACAATTTTAGAAAACAAAGGATACCACACACTGTCTTATGTTACATTCAAGAGAAATATGTATAATTACCTTAACTTGAATTTGTTGTTTCAACATTGCAGCTCTTAAGATTAACATACGTGTGCGCCTTTGATATTCCTTCCCGACGCTCATAGATTTCTCAAAAGTCGTACTACGTTGATCCACATCTTTTGCATACAAAATCTAAAATTATATAGCAAAACGTGAAAAGAGAAACAGTATATCAGAAAATCATGTACGTTGTTGATAAAAAAGAAATACATTGTTGACAGTTACTTTATTGTGTGAGTCTATGCGAGCTTGTATTTGACCATCAAGTATTAATTGCATAAGTTCATCCTCCAATTCAGAAACTGTTCTGTTGAAAGCAGTCGCCATGCGTCTCATATCTGCACTCAAGTAAGGACTGAAGTATTGTATTAGCGCTCTATTCCGAATTTGTGTATACAACACGTTCACGTGCGGTGCTATGTACATGTCTAAGAGGATATTATCCTTAATCTCGTCTAATAGTTTTAAACAAGATGCGTATTTCGATTCGTAAAATTTGAAGATGATATCCCTTAATTGTGGTTCCAACTCTAGGAATAATTTAAACGAACTGCTAAAGATAACTTGTTTTTGTAGTTCATGTCTATCGAACGTGGCTAGAGCACAGAGCCCTCCGTACAGAGCAACATTTCCGGGAGACAATAATTCGGGGCAATCACAGTGATCTAACGATGCTTGTAAGAAGTGCCTAGCTGCCATTTTGTATTTTCTTGTTGCTAACTCGGCAAGACCAGCGGCAACTTTTAATTTCGTAACTATAGCTTGATTGTTGTCTTTGCCATGAGCGTCGGAAATGTCTGGCGTGCTTTCTGCTTTCGTTACGTAGCTCAGTACATGGGCCCAGTTTTGCAAATAAACTGATACTTTGATAACGTTTAGACACATATTAACAATGTGTTTTCCACTTGTACAGTAATCTCTTGCTCTAGAATAACATTTCAAGGCATGAACAAGATCTCCACAATCTAAATAATGATCACCTAAATCATCGTGGCCTCTTCTGATGCTTTCTTTAATCGAATTACTTCTATAATTTTTAAGATCTGTATCAAATTTCTCTAGTTTCAAAGCAGCCTTTTTAGATCGAGATTCAAGCCAAGCCTGATCTAACGTCAACATATCTTGAGACGTTGACTGTGCTGCGACATCTGGTAAACCAGGTGTGCCTACGGCTTGTACTAATTTCTTGTGCAGTATCACATACAAGGAAACATTATACGTTGTCATCACATAAGATATAGCCATTTTAAGTGCCTCTATCCTTAACATTGGACAATGATCAGCTATGTATATTAGCCTATATAGTTTGGCAAGGCCTGTATAGCTATTGGCATAAACTTCTAAATCCTAGAAAAAGTTAACTACTTTTGTATATATGGTTTTGCTAAAAACAATTGTATAATTGAAATTAGATGCAGACCAGTGTTGGATTTTCCACAATATATGGTTCTTCCTCTGCATTGTCATTATCTTCTGCAGGAGCATCGACTTGCATTGGCTCCACAACATTTTGCTGAATAAGTGAATTATAATACCTTTAACATAAGCTTGTAACCAAACCAATGTGATTTTTCGCAATATGTAAAAACGAGCAGAGAAACAAAAGGTTTTGAATTTGTTATGATACTTATCAACGCAAAATACTTAAATTGTATCAACAATTGTTGCGTTCCTTTTAGAAAATTACCTGAACGTCGTGAACTTGCAACGGCATTTCGACCTCCTTATTTATATTACAGTCGTGGATTTACGAAAGAAAACAAAATGTTGTTTGCAAGAACAGGAATAGTGAACCAAATTATATACACACACACACACACACATAACACATCTGACGACATACATGTATGTAGTCATGTACTATGTACACGACCGGTACAGTGCAGACACCTTAGAGCAGCTAAATGTTTTCCTTGGAAACGTGAATTCGTGGAGAGCCATCATGGACTTAAAGGACGGTGCATAGTCGAGGGGAACGGCTCCCAAAAGCGGAAGGGGAAAACAGCTCTGTTTGAGCCCACAAGTGCTGCCCTCAATGCGGTCCCGCCTGATTTTGAACATGTGGGTTTGTACCAAATGACAGGTATATTACCTGACCCATTATTACTTGAGAATATTACGTTAAACTTGTGAACCTATATAAAAGATCACGCAGCGATTACTGGCTGGCTGATAATCATGACAGGAATGTTACTTGTTCATTGTTAAGGTGTTTTTAAACATTTTACTACTATTGTTTAAATAATATGGTTCACTAATTACTATGGGTCATAGCAACTTCTGTGTGGAACAAATATTTTTAGCACGTTTTTATTTTTCACGCCTACGTTTTGCAACTAAGAATTTGAAAAAATTCTCAGACATTTTCAACTACGCTACGGACGTGTTAGAACTTTTTCACATTTTCCGCACGATGTTAAATAAAGACAAAGTAAAAAAATTGATTTCTCGATTTAAAATAAAAAATAGGAACTGCTAAATTTTGGAGCTAAAAATTGGACTGAATATTTCTTTTTTTGTAAGCTATCGAATGTCGCAAACTGCGGTTCGTTCTGCTCAAGG